CCGAGATCACTATGTTATGTTATGTTATGTTAATGTTTCCATCACTGTAGAATTTACGTGTAGCAGGATGTCAAATGCTTCAACGGTTGACTCTCTATTTGACATTCCGCAAACTTTCTGAGAACATACAAATGAAGAAACGTAAACTGTACGTGAATATAGCAGGGTGATGCCACCATGTATAACTTGTCAATATTTCAACAGAAATATTCAAAGGTGAAATAATAAAAATCCAATTGATTAATAAATATACCCTTACCAGTGTGGACATCGTGCTGGGGCACCGGTCGCAAGCCATTAAAAGCAACACAAATTTTGACTCAAGGAAACCTAACCTACTTTTACATGGGAAATTTTTTCAGTAGTTGGTACTGAGCATGTTAATTTAAATTCTGCGGCTGCAAAGGCTTTTCTGTTTTCTGTCATGCGTCAAATGTCAATCTGTACAGAGTTGGTGCTATAAGATGTTCCAGAGGCACTCCATAAACGCCAGAGTTACTGTACAGTTGATATCAAAACAACAAATGGACATTATTCGATTGTTATGACGATTTGGTGTGTGCAGCTGGCATACTCTGAAGACTTGAGTACCGCAATGAGTACCGCATTAAATATTATTTGTTACATTGTTTGAATGGTCTCCTCCTACATTGTCCAAATATACGGTAGACTGAGAACAGCCTCATATGTTATCACGAGGGCTTCCTTTTTTGTGACATTCTGTCAGTAGCAACATTTATCGGACATCGTTGCAATAACCTCAATGTTTTCCAATCCATGGCTTGAAATGTGTAATGACCCAGTGAGCGAGGCTGTCGTTTTCTTGATTAGTTCTTGTTGTGAGGGGCAAAGGAAATGAGTCAATGCAAATAGATAGTGCAGATGAGAAGGAAATGTTTGCCGACATATTTAGTCAGTCCAAGAAAGAATGGGAAGGCTACTTGGAAATATTATTTTTAATTTGTATTTTTGACAGATAAGTTCACCTGAACGTAACATCAGGCGGGCTCACATCAACATGCCGTATAATGGTTACACCGATAATAATTAAACTCTTCGCAGCAGGCTTCCGCGTATATATACTGTAACTGTCCATGAGGATAGTTTTGTTTTCACCCTTGGCATGCGAAATGAGCGAGGAAACCCACATCCCCCAAATTGTGATGGCAAGAACTATGACGACAGGATAATCAACAAGTCAAATTTAGAGCTCCAGTGTATCGCGAGAGTGTGTGATGAAGAATTAACTATACGAGAAATCTATAGTATTTATCAATCGGTTGAGGAACGTAGAATTATGTGAAGGAAATTATACCGCCAGGCGACTGACTGATGGTTTGTTTTACTTCCTTCGTTTGTTATTTGAGTAACTCTAAGGTCAGCAAAGGTCCAGGCTTATATGGGGCAGCAACAGTATAGGATTAAATTTAAAAACTTTCGACAGTCGTGAGTTAAATTCCATAAAGCACCCTAAAGAACCCCACTTCGATTTTGAATACGACGTATCGAATTAATATTCAATAATAAAATTACATTTTCCAATTCGGAGTTTCATTTTTCATATCAGAGACGGCTTATATGATTATAGAATTTCTATGAAATGTCTATAAACCCGAAGTTTATAGCTAGAGTCTTATCTTTGACAGCAAAAGCTCCGGCAAGCTTGATTAAATTCATTATCTGAACTGCTGTCGACAGCTTTTTATTCATAAAAACCTCAAATATTATCTCGGATGAATCGTGCAAACAGGAAATAAGAATTTAATTGGATTTATTTCTGTAATATTCCTTATACACACATATAGTGATTTTCTGAGTTTTACTGATTTTCCACAAAGCCTTCAGCACGTTTTAACTTTTAAGTATGCTACGGCCCTAAGATTGTCCATTCTGGTGTAATGTGTACTCGACTGTGAAATTCCCTTAAAGTATCCCAAAGTTTTGTAAATCTCCGCACTTAACTAAATTTTAAGTCTCTCGAAATTTGCACTGACTTGCGGAGAGTTTTCTCAAATAAGTTTATCTAAGTGAGGAGATTTTGTTCGGCAAGGCCAAGGTTCCAAGTGCTATTGAAGGCGTCTGCGAGAATTGTCGGATTGTCAGTGCGCCATCCATGCGTCACTTTAGGTCGACGCATACGCGACCGTTGTGCTCACCGAGAGTCTTATTATCGCATCTGCCAAGACTGGAAATATATCTTACGGGCCAACGGTGCTGGCTCTCAAATCTTGTACTTGGGTAGCTTCAGCAGCTGGGGGCCATGGGAACAGGAAACATGGCGTACGTGGCCACGGTGGAACTTTGCTCGTCAAAGTTATTTACTTGCTGCCCTCGGACCTTTTTCCTGTACATCGTTTTTTCGGCATAGGCATTCTGCCATCCTTTTCTCATGGGACGAGTTCGAGCTGGAGTGACTCTGAGGACGTCACTCCTGAGTGACTCTGAGGCGTCACAAGAGCGTCACTTGTCCGTCGCAGCGCATGCAGTTGCCCTAGGCTCTCAAGTACCAGCTCGGGCAGATGAGGCTCGTCAACCTTGGAAGGTAACTCGCTGCTCATCTAGGAGAAGGTAACCCCGAACCCAAACCTCTGCTGCCTTGCGGCTAACCTAGCACGCTACTATTCTTGTCGGCACGCTACTATTCTTGTCTACACGCTGCCACTCTTGTCGGCACGCTACCACTCTTGTCTACACGCTGCCAATCTTGTCTGCACGCTGCCACTCTTGTCTGCACGCTGCCACTCTTGTCGGCACGCTGAATGTTCCTCTGTCATCCATATCTGAATGAATTCAGATATGTCCATACTCATATCTGAATGATCCTCTTTGTCATCCAGTTCCCGCACTTGTCGCAATGTGCAGTCACCTTCAACACCACGCCTAACACCATTTGACACGTTCACACCCCAGACAACTTGTTACTCATTTGTCAATTCTCGCCAAGTGTTGATTGGTCTCTCGTTAAACTGAGACCTAAGAATCTAGTTTAAACAAAACGTTAGCATGGCGGTTATTTATCACTTTGATGCGTGACCTTCATTAAAGTTTTTTTCAATAGATTTTTCCAGCTGTCAATCATTTTGTTGCAGTCTAGAGATTGGTTTAGGTTGATGCTTTACCTATGAAAATTTGCAATGGTCCGATAACTGTAACATAATAATTGTAATTTGTCCGATAATTGTGATATATACCCTCTGATGTATATTCCCGAGACTCTTTGCTTGTACTCTTATGCTGGAAATGCATGCACGTTCACATGAATGTGAATGCATACCCATTATGGTAATGCGGAGGCAATGATCTCGGCGATATACGGCCGGGGTTTTTATAATAAATATTGAGAGGCGGCCATGGATGTTTCGCCGGAGTTACATGCCCAGGATGAAGGCGCTGCCGCGTGCAGCCGCGGGGGCACCGTCCGATAATCTCGACCTCGATCTACTTCAATACGCCGATGATACGCCTTTGATTTTTGACTGAGAAGGATGATGATGTTAATACTAAGTGATGTGACGAAATTGTGAAGAATAACAGCTGAACAAGCATCTAATTTGTACTCATTGCTAGGTTGGATCTAGTGTAGTCCTAGATAAAGTATCTTGCAGATTAATATTTTACTCTCACAACGCCTTTAATGTAGCGTCATATTACATATGAATTGAATAATGTTCCTAAATAACCGCACAACGTTACAAATACTATTATTAAAAACAAAGTTAACTTTTCCTCAGTAAGTGAAGATAAATCACGACGTTGATACTGCTATAATTAGATTTAACTCGGACCTCAGGTGGCTGCTAAAAAAACCTGGTGCTCTAAACCCAACATATAACCTTCTATTTATAGTGTTCCATATCAATACAGGGAACGTTTGAAAAATTAGAGTGACACGCAGCAAAAGACGTTCCTTTTTTCCCGTTGTTATGCATCGTAACATTAAATTGATGCGCAGCAAAAAAAACATTCCCTTGTTACGCGTAAATAGTGATTATTGCTATGCATCAAAACGTTGCATCGATGCGCAGCAAGTAATATGCTATTGAGGAGCAGCAAAAAAAAGTTTAATTGATACAGATGCAGCAGATAAAAAATATTGAATTAACGTTCAATAAATGAAACCAATCAAATATCGACTTCTCTGATAGTCTAACAGGTGGCGCCATCTTGTTTAGTCTTCATCTTCTTAGCCGACGCCTCCCTCAAGGTAGTACATGTAGCCATGGAGGCACCATAGTACTTTTTTATATAAATTTCTGTTGACTGTCGCGTAAATGCTCACTACAATAATTGCACCGAAGTTATTAACATCGAGTATTTGAGAAAAATTTATAGCGTTACTTCAACCTGTATGTCAGGTTTAGGGAAAGACACGGCATCGAAACTATAATGCTTTATTGCAATATCAGAACAGCACCTCTACTGCAAATTGAAGAGCAAAAATTCAAATAAAATAATAATCATAAAGCAAACGTCAGAACACAATTTTGTATAGTCTAGTTTTACAGAGTACATGTCATAATAAAATCACAAATGAAGAACAATATACCTCAAGTTTGGGTAGAACTGGAGAACGTCCAACACTAAAATTCACAATATTATATAGTATATATTTGTAGAAGGTGTGAGCACAGAGGTATGCCATTAATTCAGCGCAAGAATAATGAACACCAGGAACCAAGAATTGGTTCGAAAACTGAATTTAAAAAATCTTTAGGACCCAATTTGGAAGAAGACAAAAAATTGGCAGAATGCGCCTGAAATTAGGATTTCCCCAGCATTAGCAAACTCATGCTGTTCACAGTCCACAACCACTCTAATAATCACTGACATCTCAAAACTAAATTCAAGTAACAAATAACATTAACAAGAATAATATTAAACTGCTGTTGAACGATAACGCAATCACTGTTAGGGTCAATTGATTTGTCTTAGGTGTTCTCAATTGAACTGCTCGTTCAATGCGCCATTGAAATGTTGCATGTGAATAATCATGAGCGTCTTTAACGCCTTCGTGCTGATACTAAATTGCCAAGATAGCAGGGGAAAGCAATGGATCTCAGCTTATGTTCGCGAGCCAGATTGAGGGAGCTCCAATAAGCATTTTGCAGATCAGCTCTGTCTCCATTTGTGGGGCCAACAGTGTGAATAACTGTTCTAGCAGGTAGCTGGTATCCATGAGTGATTTTAGCGTCACCTGTACGACATCTACCTAGGGTCTCGCATTCCGTCCGGAGGCGTGGTCCAGCAGCTCTATGGATTGCCCCGTCCACTCCTCCACCGCCGAGCAGGGATGCGTTAGCTGCATTCACAATGCAGTCAATTGCAAGGGTCGTGATATCTCCTAAGAACAAAGAAACTTTAGTGTTCAGACTTGGGTCCACAGCAAACTTAGGAAGTTGAGGAATGTGCTTGCATTTTTCGAGTGACTTTGCCAGAGCCCATGAGTTTCGACGAGCGTAATCTGACCATGAAGGAATGTCATGCATGGAAAAAAAATATCCGCTCGGGTATAGTGCCTGCTTCTTCTCCCGCGGAAGTGAAGTCATATCCCAATCTTTTTTAGAAGAAGTTGCAAGTGGTCCATATTGGACTTCGGAAGAGTTTGTATTCCTCTTCGGAGTGGGAGTTTGGTTAGAACTTGACGTTGTGCTTCCATTTGCTTGAACAGCAGGGTTTTTGTTGAATTTAAACATCATTTCGTCGTGGGCCAAATTTACTAATTGCTCAAGAGGCTTTTCTCTTTGGTGTACAATAACAGATGCTATCTCATGTGGTAGGGCGTGAATAAAGCTGGATTTTACCAATTCACCACAGATCGACTGCAATTCCTGCATCAAGTCCCAGGCAGATGGAAAACCCGTGAGGGTAGTGCTGGTCAGTTTCTCAAAGAGTTGTTCTAGTTTGTCTTTCTCGCAGTGGTCTATTCCCGCTGGCTCCAGTGAACTATTATCAGCGACGTTGGTTTGTGATGGATCTCCTATGTTCCCTCTGTTGAATCTGCCTTTGGTCGCCATCTTCACCCTAAACATCTGTCTATGGTCACCAGTGAAGAGGGGAACTTCTCTGCTGGCCCGAAGTTCAAATATCTTAGAGAATATGGAGAGGATGATCAACGCGCTGTTTTATTAGTTGCAGGTTCTTTATCCGGAGGTTAACTGATCCATAAACAAAATTTGAAGTACAAGTTGGTTTGAATGAATACTTTTCATCTCATTGGTAGCCTTAAGAAATCGGGAATTCACAGAAAAGACCGAATGTTACAACTTCAGTGTCATAGATAGTATTGAATCAGTGAAAAAGTCTTTGAGTCTTGCAGTTCTCAACTCCTGTAGAAAAATGTATTATATAAATATACGGCTAAAGAGAAATTTACGTGTTGGAAAGAGGCCAGAAAAAAACATATATAGCTGCTGAGGAACAGTGAATCTAGAGATATAAAAGTACAGTTGTAAAATCTTATTTATAAAAAGTTTGTAATCATTGCTAAATGGAAAAATGGTCTGCAAACAAATTTCATCTTCCAATGTGAATATGGAAAGCATCATTTGTGCATGTAATTTTTGCACAATTAAGTCAGCCAAAGACAGTCCTACCATGTTATCTACAATGAAGAGGTCTGTCAGTTATGTTTGTGTTTTCCGCATATTCTTCTTAAATAGTCCAAAATTTCGGCATTCAAAAACATTACTTCAGAATTCAAACAGAAAAACAATGAATTTAGTTGTAAATTGTAATCAAAGTCAAAGAGTAGCACAGCATTTGTTTTGTAAACCTGAATACTAAATATGGTTGGCCAGAATTTTCTTCTAGGCTCGAGTTTCGGGCCTGACACAAAAATAAACCTTAGAATACAGAGATTTCATTATTTCGCTAATGAGCATAAATACCATATATTTTTAAACACTGCTTTTAAAACTTCTGTCAAGTATAATATGCCGAAAATCAATTCCAAGTCAAGATATTTCAAAGCATCTGATGAAGCGAGAACTTTGTCTGCACAAAATAACAGAAGGCAGTTTCAACATAATAACCTCTGCTGAGTCTGTTCCTGTGCTCCAAAAAGCACAATCTTATCTACGTGAAGAGAGGAAAGTCAATTTTAATGATCCTAGTTCCATTGTGCTCACTATCTTGTTGACCCAAAAACTCCATCAAAAAGCCTCGAGTTTCTGCAGAAGAAACTTTGGTAGTCTCATCAACACAAATTTCAGAACCTTCCTCCCCCCCCTCTCCCTCTCTTTCTTTCGTTGAACGATGAATGTTATTATTTTTTCTGCGTTTTGAAATCTATCACCTTGAAGCTCTATTCTTTAGTGAAGCATCTATAAGAAGTCATGATAATAATTATATAAAAAGCGTATTATTTGTGAATATTTTTCCTCCGTTAAGTTTTACAGTGCAGTGCTAAAAGTTTCGGCTTTGCTTTTTAGAAATCAACCCAGTCAGGGGTCTTAAAATCACTCCATTAATAATTTGATGCACATTATGGAAAATTTATTGCAGATTAAATTGTCCTTGTCAAGCGTAAATTGTTCATCATACGCAGTACGTAGTTTGTGAGTTCGTGATCGAAGTTGCATTTGGAAGTGAGTTTTGTACGAACACAGTGGAACATTCATTAACAAGAGTGCAGATCAAGTTGATCAGCCATTAGACGGTCAGAAAACAGAACTAATCGAAGCGACACGCAATTATATGTTCGCATAACTAGATCTTTATGAATTTTAAATTACAAGGGTTTCCATCGATTTCTTCTTCCACGAATGTTTTTTATTTCTGTTAGAATACGTTACTAAGTCATTTGGAGTTTAGATGCACGGTAATTATCGAATTTTTGGAAGTGAATTGCCATGAAGATAAAAAGTTTCTGATTGTAAAAAAGACTGAACAGCAAAGTTTTCCAACCCTTGTCTGTTCGTGCATAATGACGCATTGCAGTTTGAAAAAAATTTGAAATTTGAAGGGAGCACTTGTCTTGTAGAAAAAAAATTAAACATATAATATGTAAACTGGATAGAATATTGTTGAAGACATAACGGTTATCATTTTATGAATATTTGCCTTGAAAAGTACATAACATCAAAACGATGTTTCATAACTTAACGTATTCGGATTGGTGAAAATCATTGACTCATGCATGTTGAACAATTTATTAAATGTAACTCGTTGAAACGAGTTCCATTGAAATTATCCTTTTATCCCACTGATAGTTTGAGAGCTTCTAAAAAACCACTACCAATTAATTATTATCGTTATATATTATAATTATTATATTAATTATTATATTTTTAATTAATTATTAATTAAATATTATTAAATAATTATTATATTGGCTGAAGTGATACAGCAAAAAACCTTTAAAAATGAAAGAGTTGGACTGAATGCAGCAACAAAGCTTCTTACAAGGGTGTAACCTGCGTTTAAGGACAAAGCCTCCTAAGCTTTATTATAACATTTGAGTTAAAATTAATATATGTATGATCATTAATTTGTACTTATATTCATTATATATATTTTATATAGAATTTGTCAGTATTTATGTAAAAAAATTACAATAATTGAAATCAATGATATAAAATTCCTAAAGTGCCGTATATATTTTGAAGAGGCCCGAATCCTCCCAGAAATAGGCCTACTGGCATGACTACCTTCATATTATGATTAGTTCTCCTGTAAAATAATTATATCGCGCACGAAGCAGCCCAGCACATTCAAAAGAAAGAAATAATGCCACACCCTAAACAGCTGCAACGTTCGACGCACAGCGTTTGACCGTGGGATTATTCGCAGCCCAGGCGAGAAACGGACGGGTTGATGGCGGTCCTCATATTCACTGCAAGGCTCCAGCGCACTCTGTCCGAGTGGTGCATAACTTTTTCGTGCATTGGCAGACGATGCTGGGTCATACTACGGCAGGCTACTTTCCTGTGGGCTGATTGATCTAATTTAATGGATATGATCTGTTTGGTGGCTTGCGACTGATAATTAATAGTCTAGAAGTGTTGGGGGCTACGTTCATGAGGGTGATGAGATAGGAGTTCTATCTCGATGGTTGTGGAAATTTGTAACGATATTGAAGATTTTGGGTTTAATTATTCAATGGTCAATTTCTTTAATTCTGTCAGGTTGGTTTCCGTAGTGGTTTACTATAGTCGCGTACGTATAAATTCTCGTATGAATAGGTTACGGCAAAAATCGTACGGAGAGAGGGTCGCAATGAATCACTGGAACATTTCATATTAAATTGGGATAATCAAGTCACATCCTACTTTGACAAAAATCTCTAGTACGGGAAAAATTAAATCCGAACACAATCAAAGTTGAAAATCTATGAGTCAACATCACTCAAACTCCCAAATTACAAGAAAACGTTGAGCCACGACAGTCGTGAAGGACCGTAATGCACCCACAAGTTTGCGGCCGTATTCCCAGCGGCCGTACCGCAGCCGTTGCCACACGTCCTTATTTACAGTAACTATTTCTTCATAGCCGTATTTCCCGCTCTTACATTGATGCCTCACGGCCAGTCTAACCATAGAGTTCGTGACGACCGTACTTCTGAATAGTGGCGTTCGTCTTCATAGTCGATGGTGCTATTCCAAGCTCGTTGCCGTACTTCTGCTGTTTGTGATCATGACCGCACCGCTTCTCCTGATGAAAATTATGACCGTACTTTGCTGATGACCGTACCGTTGATAATTGTTGCTCAGTGCTCGAAAACTTTAACCTTCTGATTTCCGGCGTTATAATCGTTGGACGTCCGGTGGCCTCTCACGTTACCTCAAGGGTGAGCCGCTGCCGGAGTGTTGATGTTGACCGTACGTAAATATGTCGAAGTAATTCCTAGTAGATTTTTGACGTCGTTATATCGGAGTCGTAGTTGTAAGAATGACTCGACGTTTCGCACGGCCGTTATTTCGTGACCCGCCACCCAACGGCCGAATCTGTTGCGCAGATAGCTACAGACCGTACGTACCGGTGTGACGGTCACCACAGTAGAACAACCTCTGGCGCGAATTTTAGGGCCGTTATATACGCTGGTATCGCCCACATGTGTCGCCCACATACCATTGAGCCTATACCCTCGAAGTAGCGCCGCGTTCCTCGACTGGAATTGCCCTCGCGCTGAGCTATTAGAAATTGTAAATTAAATTGAATCTTCCATCTTTCTTAAATTAAAGAAAGAAGTAGCTTCTTGCTACCTTACGTTTCAACAAAAGGAAGCTTCGACAGCCGCTGGTAATGCTAGCGTGTCGTTTACTACGCCATTTTCCTCTTTAAATTTCTCACCTCAGTCATTCATCTGCATGCTAATTTTCTCCTTAAGATTGGCCCAGTGATTAATGTCATTAAACTTATTTAACAGCATGCAAATTATTAACCATTGAAACTTAACTTATTTGGGCTGATCTTGCTTAATTAACCTTTAAATTTTCATCATTATCTGGCTTCATCGCCTCTTAAATGGATCTTTCATTTAAGGTAATTCATGATCTGTGAATTTTGTCTTATATTTGATTGACTTAAAATCTTGCGGTCCATCCTGAATTAAATTACTTATTAATCCTTAGCGGCAGCTATTGAACAATTTCCTTTTCTGTCGCAGAACAAATCTGGGGTGACTTCTCGCAATTTACCTGCCAATCGCACGTAATCGCCAGCTGCCTCCACTTATTTCTCTGCTGGATTGAGGACTACAACCAAATCGGAACCTTGATCCACGCCCTTCCAAACTGATTTTCCATATAAATGTCTTACGGCAAGATTGTTGACCATATTCATGATTTGAATAAACGTTGTCACACCCGTGTTGGACTGGAAATTTGGTTTCATTAATTAAAGAGCTCTCCAACGTTCGATATAAACTAACTCGTTCCAACGGTCTCGAACAACCGCGTCTTGTACTTACATCGCTTCGACCGCATTCTTAGCATTCTCAACACCTACGCATGATGCATATTTAATATCACCTACTTTATTCAAGGGAAGGGATCATGACAGTCCATTTGAAGCAGGGTAGTGGTGGTCTCCGATAGGCGTCCCGATACCATTTTGCCTGAACTACATTTCTCAGACCCGGACCGGTCCGACGAACTCAAAGATAACGGTTTTACGGATTTGGTTTTAGCTTCATCCAATGTTAAAAAAAGTGCGCTCATGCTACTTTTTTCCGAATTAATCGGTAGTTATAATTTCATCCCAGAAAACATTCCGAAACAAAATTATCGTCATCGTATCAACTATAACAAATTCTATTTCGTTTTTGGAAAAATGATAAATCATATATGTTAATTACGAACTAAAATTATTCAAACGAGCAT